AATATGATGTTTGGACATAAATACCAAGATGTTAAGGTATTACTATACTAAGTCCAACCAATATTATAAGTAAAGCTCCCATCCTCCACTCTTCCATGGTACGATCTGGATCTTCAATGGTTCTAAAGAGTTCCACACAGTAGCAGGTCTTATATAGGGAAGGTGATGTAACTACCACTACATTAATCTACCTATACAATATATGAAATGTCCAATAAGTAATTCCAATTATTTCCCCTACAATAAATTTTAGAAATTATTCTTATTGTGCATATTATAATATTGTTTAAATCACTATACAAAGTATTTTGAAAGAAAAAATATACATTCAATCATATGACTAAATGATGTCGAGCCAAATTATACAATGAAATATTTAATATTCTTTATGGAAGTGGAAAACTCATACACTAGAGCATTTAGGGCAGTAATAAGCTTCAAACTCACACCCCAATGCCCTCATTTACAAATTTACGAAAGAGAGTCCTCTAGCCCATTACCTAGTGCATTTAAGTTGAGTATACCCCCTGATATCATTAACAAAACAGAAAATAGGGATTTTAATCACAACAAAGTCTTTCAACCAAATAACTTTCAAGTCTCACAGTGCAACTTCAATGGCTATTAATTTCAAGTTTGAAACCGTGATGCTTTTGATTACCAGGAGAACCTTCCACCAAGGATGTTAAAAACAAAATAACATCAATGTTGAAAATGTTATAATTAGTATTATAATAAAAAATATTATACTAAGTTGAATTAATACACATTTATAATATACCTGAAAACAAATAGGCTTTCTTTTCCATTCTGGTTACTCACATTAGATGGTCACTTGTATGCTCCTATCATTGACCAGTCATGTGGTCATTCTTTTTCCAGCTCTACGAAACCCTGTTTGAATGTTGAATACGTGGACTTCTTAAGAACAGGTGGAAGAGATTCAACATGACAATTGGTGTCTACTTCTCTACATTTAACAATGCGGTCATTGAAAATATTGTATTTTAAGTTTCCCTAGTAATTCACGAACTTGAAAACTCATCCTATACCAATTGTTTAAAAATCTTCCTCGTATTGTTTATAGTGTTTTATTATTAAAATATCCAGACGCAGAAAGTATTTGGCAAGTCATGATCAGGGATTAAGATTTTAATGTAATTTGAATGAACAACTATGTTATATATAGCTCAGTCGTGTTCCAAAAATACTTTGCTGTGTTCCCGGTTGAAATTTGAAATATTGCTCACGTGTGTGTGTGAAGCCAATATAACACAATGAATAACCATGACATACGAGTTAATAAACAACACTTGATATTTCTATTGACATAATTTTGTCCTTAAAGTTGAACAAATACTGTAATTTTTTAACATAAATATCGTCTCAAAATACGAATAAGTTTAATCTATAGGTTTACCAGATGATTATTTACATATAAAACTTGTTTTCCAGCGAATTACTGATAAAGACTACTTTGGAACTTTATATTTCGACTATTTCTGGGTGTTTTACTTATTAGGATAATATATAAGTTCATTTTATTATATCGGCTACGGAAACCATTTCTCTATGATATTTTTAATGCTATCACATTCTTTATGAAGAAAATTATAAGTACTTATAATCTCACGAGTAACATAATTCATGTTCTTAATTAAATTATTTTCAACAACGTCGGTATAAAACTTAAAATTAAAATAAGGACCTGAAAAATGTATTTTTATAATCATTTTTGTACTGAAATTTGCCATTGATGTGTTCTAATGTATCTAAGTAGGCCGAATGATGATATTGTAAAATGTCTATATTATTTTTTAAACTATCATTTGTTCATAATCACTAAAGACGACCAAGTACGATAAACATACGTAAGATATCATAAGGGTTTGGAGGACGTAGAATAATATTTTGACTATCTTTCACTAAAACAAAGAAACTAATTTGACAAGGAAGAAGTTAGACTTGATTCCGCCAAATACACGTTTTTTTTTGTTTTTTTTCTGTGGCAAAATGTATCAGTTTCAAAAACGGATATTTAGGAAAACATACTTCAATCTGATATTATAAGAAAAATGAACTGATGAGCAAACTAGAGCGTTACATAATACATGATGAAGCAAGCCCTAAGTACCTCTCCCCTCTAAACTTCATAAGTAAGAATCGTACAGGCCAAACAGTGCTAGGCTAACTGAATCCTAGACACAAACGTAGCTCTATTTTAAAAAGATTTTATATGTAAAAATAGGATTATGTGTGTGTATATATGACTGCTAAGTGGTACTGTATTGTGAACACGGACTAATAGTGCGATCATACATAAGTGAAGCTAGTGAAAATATAAGAGTTAATATTACACCATGACTTGGACGTGGCACGAAAAGGGTACGATAATTAGAACTGCGGGTAATAGACAAAATTTAACATACTGCGAGTAATGCAACAATAACGTAACAAGGGTTATTACCTGCGATTCAGTAACAATGCAAACAAATTAACAAATCCAAACAGGGAAAAAATGTCTACGCTGAACCTGACTCTTCCTGGTCCAAGACATAGTCCGAATCCCGATGAAGATGATCATGATGATATATCATCCTGCCTATCGAAAAATTATAAAATATGCATTTTACTTTATAGGATCTTCTAGGAGAATATTAATATGAAGAGATTCATCATCCGAAATTAACATAATAAACTCTACTCTAAAATCTTCAATTCATTTTCTTTCTAGAAATTTCGAAACTATCATTTTTGCGAAATTTAGCGAAACACCTTCAAGTTCATTATTAGTGATATAGACTCTCATTCACGCTGAAACAATTTCCATCAAAGTGGTGAAAACCGTTGAACAGAGTCGAAACATCTGTGCATGTATATGATAGGAATCACGTTAAGCCAACAATCTGCGGGTTCGAATCCCCGTCACACCAAACATCCTCGCCCTTTCAGCCGTGGAGTCGTTATAATGTGACGGTCAATCCCACTCTTCGTTGGTAAAAGAGTAGCCCTAGAGTTGGCGGTGGGTGGTGATGACTAGCTGCCTTCCCTCTAGTC